GTAAGTAGAAGAGTAACATTAGCGTCAAGACTTTCGAGAAAAAAAAAATCACTTAAAAGGCAATGTCAATAGCCAATCGCGCTGCAATTAGGATTCCTGATCGGATTACGTAATTAGTCAGTGTCATGTTTGCCCATTTTAGTGCGTGGCGGACAATGGTGTTTAAATAGGCCATTTGCAGCTTTTTCAGTTACGCTATTTCAATTAGGCATATTTCTTGTTTGGTCTCCCCCATATTATGACAATGACAAAGACATTTATGCTCATGTCACCCATAAGCAGATAATTTCGTTGCTATTCTTCATAGACTAATGCGTAGGCCTTATACATCATTTCAGAATTCATAGTTTGATACAAATGGTTTTCTTTCATAATTATTAATTCATGGTTTTTCAATTCATAGTTTTTCACAATATTTTCATAAATGTTTTTTGTATTCATTGTTTTTCACAAATTGTTCATACAAATGTTTTTCATTCAAACTTTGATACAAGTGTTTTGAAATGAGCTGGTTGCTAGCAGATTATATTTTGATATGACTTGGTGCTAAGCTCGAGAAAGTAATTTGTTTTCCTTCTCAATTAAGCTGTAACTGCACCTGAGACGCGTAGCTTATGAATGCCTAAAAGTCTTACTGCACAGAGAGCGTTACATGCACCTAGGGTCATGTGACATTAGAAACAAAACAACTTCAATTATTTGTATATTACCAGCATTCTTCCATATAACTTCAGTAATACTTACAATTAATAATGAGTAACAATCAATTTCATGTTACAGATAAACATACAATTAATTGAAGCAAGATCGAGGATACAGGGGATTTTAAAGGTAATACAAAGTTTTGGTATATATGGGGTCATGAATTTGGTTCAAATGAACATTATGTTGGAAGCGTATGCGATCCTACAATATTCAGTGATCATTGTCTCGAGTAAAATCGAGTCTTAAAGATATGAAATTGTAAATAATAAACTCTTATGTTGTATAGCTCCCTCTCAAGGTCAAGATATTAATTAAGCTATAAAACAATGTTTCTTGACTAAAATCAACCGTTTCGCTATCCCCGTTCAGAAAATATAAATTACAACTACACATTGTGAGATTTTCATGGTCGCAGCTGCCATTGTGTGGCCGCAGGCGCTATTTGAAATTTTAAAAAACATTTACCGGGAGCACCGGTAATTTGTATATTCAATTTTTCTCGAAAGCAGAATTGTTTTAGGGGCTAAATTTTCTAGTGCTTCAAATACATCCACAGGGGCATCCAAATATATCAAAATTGTAAAGAATCACTATCCACCCAATTTTCAAAATTTCCCAAAACTTTGTATTACCTTTAACGATTGATCTCGGAAGTCGTTTTTTTATTTTACAGTTAGGGCTCAGGTATTGTTGCTATTCCCGGATGAAGATTGTACAGCGTTGTCAATACAAGCTTTTGATTGATATTAATGTCAATTATTCATATAAATCTATTTTCCTCCAATGCGGTCTTTAATAACACATTCTCTCAGGTCACCCATCTACCTATCTACATGATAATCAAGAATCAAATTACCCATGCATAGTATTAAAGGGCACACCAAAAATCTCTACGAATCGATTTTCTTGGAGTCGAATTAATTCCAATGAGGGGCCCTCTTAGAGAAGGAAGTGTTTTTAATCTGTTTAAAGGAACTGTTGGCTATCAATAAAGGTGGTTGGCAGTTCAGGGGCGACGAAGCTCAACTCATCTGCCCTACATGTTGGTGACCATCATGGTAGACTTGATGCACTTTGTATTGATCTTTTTAATGCATTTTACCCTGGACTGGCGAGTGGCGACCACTACCATGACTTTAACACGCAAATGACCAATCGCCAATATTTTTTTCGTTCGCTTCTTTTTTTTCCCTTCGTTTTAAACGTCAAAAACACTTATTGATTTGAAACAGGATGGGAAGTGCATATAAGCCTCACCTTAAAGGGATCATGTAACAATGTTAAATCTGAGATACACGGCCCTACGTGTTATCAATGTCTGTGATATGGTGTAATATTGAAGCCCTAAAAATATTGCGCTTCGAAATGATCAAAAAGTGCCTCAAAAAAGTAAAAATCTTTGGGTGACCGGTTTTACCATACTCGTTTTCCCCAATAGACTGTAGTGTTATGAAAACCGTCAGGCGAACGGTTTTCAAAATTTGTAATTCCAATCATAAATATCTTGATAATCAGGCAGGCGATCGGCTTCTAAAAGTCATGGGGTTCCTGACTGACCTAAAGCTTTATAATTATCATTGTATCATGAGCTAAATCCAGAATTTTGTTTCAGAATCTAAGACAAAGTTACCGGATCCCTTCAAACAAAATATTGGTGAAGCGAAGCAGCCAAGCGATTCCTGTTTATTTTCATACTTGAATTTCAATCCGTTATTTCTCTTTATATTACGAAATCAACTCCTTCATTTAACAAAGGGTATCAGCTGTAAAATGTTATTATGAAATGAAAATATACATCAAATCGAATCTTTAAACACAAATTAAAAAAAGAAGGGTTTATTTTTAAACAAAATGTTCGGAGAATGTCGGCAGCATGACAACATGAAAACGATCACATATTTCATTGTTATTTTCTAATAAAATATGTATTGAAATATTCATTTGTATTTCTCTGCCCCAAAACTTCGAGCCGAGATCAAGTTCAAGTTCAAGTTCAAGTTCAATTTTATTGATCATGCACATTTACATGGCATAAAAATCATTTTCCGGCTGTTTCTCAATTTATATAACATCAATTAACATACATTTACTATCAATTTATACAAAGTACAAAACCAGGAATAAATATAACACACAATAGAAAATGAGTACAGACTGGTATACAGTGTAGGCTTTGGTATAGAAACATAATTACACACAAATTACAACTGGTGATATCATTATACAGTTATGGGCAAATTACAAGAGTTTAAATAAATATGCAGTACATCCATATATCCTTAATAACTGATTCTGTAACTAATAATAAATAATAAATAATTAACAATTACCTCCTGAACCTGTCGTTGTGTAGTGTTATGGCACGTATGAGATGGTCATGATCATTGTTTAGTCATTATATATGGATATGATTTGTTTTTATATTATTTGGGGATATGGAGAATTTGTCGAATTTGTTTTGAACATAAAAACACTATGGTAGAGGGAAAAATAATACAATAAAAATACGCAAACTACCATACAAAATTCTCTTTCACGAACGTCCTGCTTTTCTTCTTTGCGTTGATATTTTCATTAATTTCTTCATTAAGCTCAATTCAAGTTGCGCCTGAGGAACATATCTTACCAAGGAGCTTCATTCTCTATAGGTGCCTTTGTCTTATTACTCCTAAGATACGTCACTGACTGCAGCTCTACTCCCTGTCGTCATCTGTAGCACTTAACAATTGCTGTGGGATGTAGTCCAAGTGTGGAGGACTTTCTTCTTCATCTTCCCAGTAGGGTCAGTGACTCGTATAGGGTGCCGTGGGGGCTGAGTACAGGGGGAACGTCCCCGCCTTGAGAAACAAAACGGAAACAAGATGAGGAATAGGGTAACATGCTTCTTTCCTTCAAGATAGTTAGGGTCTAATTACTGTCTTATTTTAGAATACCTCCACCGCTCTCTCTCTCTCTCTCTCTCTCTCTCTAAGCCTCTTTCTGATCTGTATCCACCTGTACATCCTGTGCATTTATCAGCCGGGGTGCCGCAGGATATCTCCAGGGTTGCCTCGCATCAATTTAATTAAAGATCCGTTTTTGGATCCAATATGAAATCAGTGTCAATTTCGTGAAAACTAAATATTAGAAACCGTTAAGTATTTTCAAGAAGAAATAACATTTTAAAGAAAACTAATTGTTTTTTTTTCCTTGCTCACTGCGCTTGTTCGCAACATTTACAAACAGCATGATTACAGGCAGTCAAGTGCCTGACTACCCATATATAATTAGTCAACGAGTTACCAGAATATCTCTATGACAGCAAGGTGCCCGAATGCAATTTGACCGAATATATTTTATATATTTTTAATATCAAAATTGCTTTTTGACCACGCTCGTTCGATCGCTTCACTCGCTCAGATTATTTAGAAACAGGATGACTTTGGACAACGAGATGCCCGAATATCCTTATATTCGTGCATCGAGGTGACCGAACATAATTATGACTTTTGTATTCTTATATGGTGTGTTTTGTTTACAAAATAACATTTTAACCATACAAAATTGTCTCTTTTTTTCTCGCTCGCTTCGTTCACTCGCAAATTGCAGAAACAAAAACTGTCCGCACGTGTGTACATGGCACTTGAAGTGAACCAGAGACAAAAAACGGTGACGCGAAAATTGTGTATTTCTCAAAAGGGTCTTGTGATTATATTAAGGTTGAGCAGCTGTTAAGTGGCATGCATATTAAAGGGAGGCTTTACTACTGCAGCTAGAAGGGATTAGACCACCCAGAAAGCCATCGAGGTCACTGTGACAGGTGGCTATCTCATTAACTCGGCTCTAATTTAACATAAGAAAAAGAGGATCATGGGGGACCAACAGGCACAGATTTGGAAAGTTTTCTATATAGAGGGAGCAAGTAGCTACAAGTAGGACAGTGTGCCTTTAAACGGCTTTCACCTTTTTATTGAAAGTCGGTCTCGCTGTCTAGCTCTCATCGGTCAAGTAAGGGTCACTCTATGGTCGCGTACTGTCCTTCTTCAAACATGCTAAAAGGCTTTCTTTATTTGCTTTTATGCCGGTGCTCACAAAGCGATTTAGTGCTGTTATTGTAAGTTCAGAATAAATGTCGGCAAAATGTCGGCACCGAAATTCCGATATGTTTTTTTTTTTTTGTTGTTGTATTGTTAGCCAACAATCTTTAAATTGCAGGCCCGCATCTCGGTGGACAAACAAATTTAGCTATCATATAACCGTTTTTTTTTTTAATGCCCATCCCCTTCCTCCCCCTTTCTCTCTCTCTCTCTCTCTCT